GAGTCAATCTCCGGAATTCGTTTACAGAAAGCCAATGCATTGTACGATTTTGCACTCGTCATTTTTCAGCTGTTACTCCCGCTGCGCACCATCTTCAGTTTTGAAAACCCCGCTCGTTTTTGGTTTTGGAGCGCTATGCTCGCTCTTGCTCGTCAAAAGGGCGACCCTGATCTGATCGCCGCTTGGGACCGCTTGGAAGACATTAATTTCCATGCTTGCTGTCATGGAGGCAGCCGCAAGAAAGACACTCGTTTCAAGGCCACTCCAGGGGTTTTCACTACCTTGAATGCCGTTTGACAGCATGATCATCCCCATGAACCATTTGCCCTCCGCTTTGAGTCCGGTCGCTGGGTTTTTGACACTGCCAGTGAGGCCGCTTACCCGGTCCTTCTGGCCGAACGCATGTCTGCTGCAGTCAAATCCTATCTACTAGGTCAAGGACATGCTTTTACGGCTCTGCCACCTCTTCGAACTCACACCTTAGCCTTGCAGCATCGTCAACACAAATCTCGCCCGCACCTCATCCCCGAGTTTGCTCAAGTCGTGTGGCTGCCTGACGATGCTCCCATTCCCTCACAAGGCAAGCTCTTACCTCCGGGTTCTCACGGGGGAAAAGGACCGGAGGAACATGAACCACCTAATAGCAGACGTGTGGGCATATTCCATACCCCGGAAGAGTTCGTTGCTAAAGCCATGATAGCCAAGCATCCGATGGATGAGAGGGGAATAGAGAGGATTACCCTTGAAGCTGTAGATTTTGTGAAGAACTCGGACCCGAAACTAGTTGACATTGAGAGGAAGAAGAACATCCTAAAGGCAAGAACCTTGGCCAAGAGGCTCGAAGCGGAAGAAAGCGCCCTCCACAAAAATCTCGACCCGGCTGTGCAGAAAGTGGTGCAGGACAAGAAGATCCTTTTGTGGAAAAAGCTCTTGGAGGAGGCAAATTACGATGACATGGAGGTGACAAAGTTTATGACAGATGGTGCCCGCTGGTGGGAGTTCATGACCACCTGGAATGCTTCAAGAAGAAGATAAAGATGGCCGAAATCTCGGAAGAGCAGTTGAGGAGCACTGCAAGATGGAGGAGGAAGGCCTTGATCTCCAGGAGACCTCAAACCGAGGAACCTGGCTTCGCTGAACACTTGATGGAAACGGCAAGTGAGGAGGTAGATCTTGGCTTCTTGCAAGGCCCTTTCAAATCCGAAGAGGAAGTAACGGCCATCCTTGGTCATGAAAATTGGAGCGTGATGAGGAGGTTTGTCATCCAGCAAGGACAGAAGCTCAGACCAATCGACGACGGGCTAGAGGCGCAGCTGAATGCCGCCTACACATCCACGACATAGCATTGGCGACACTCCTGGGAGAAACGCCAAACTTGAAGTGGATGGGTAAATGTCTTGACCTTTCAAAGGCCTATAAGCAGTTGCCGGTGAAACCTGAACACCGTGATTTGGCAGTGGCAGTGGTTCATTTTTAAAGTCCCGATAATGAAAATTTGTTCTTCGTGCCGAACTCGCTTATGTTTGGATCCACGGCAGCGGTCTTCGCCTTTAACAGGGTGTCGAGGAGTGTTTGGTTCCTGCTGAACACATACCTAAAGATCCCATCAGCCTGCTATTTCGATGACTTTCCTTTGTTTTCCCCGGCAGAATCAGCCGAGAGGACCGACGCTCAAGTGTCAGAGTTCCTCAACCTTTTGGGCTGGCGCCATAGCCAGACGGGAGCCAAGGGGTTACCCTTCGCCGAAAGCTTTGATGTTCTTGGCTTCACCTTGAACCTTGCTCAGCTAAAGGAAGGCGGCGGCCTGATTCTTGAGAACAAACCCGGAAGGGTCGATAAGATGAAACAAAAGATCTTGCAGGTAAAGGAGGGGGGAATCATGAAGCTCCATGAGGCTCAGGAGCTCCACGGGCTTCTCAATTTCGCTTGCGGCTACTTTGCCGGAAGGCAGCTGCGCTATGCCTGCCAAAGGATTTTCGGCTTTGTTGAGCAGGGACGAAAGGGAGATAAGCCTTTGAAGGTGTGGTGCGATGAACTCCTCACCTTGTTGGACCAATCCAAACCTAGATGCATCCCACGAGCTCCCACGACCCATTCGGTACTGATCTTCACCGATGGAGCTTATGAATCCCACGTGGGGGGACCGGGTGCCTGCATCTTTGACTTGGCCTCAGACGAAAGGTTTGTCTTCGAAAGCGAAGTGCCAAAGGAACTTTTGGACCGATGGACTAAGGCAGTCGGAGATCAACTCATCTGTCAAATAGAGCTATTTGTTATGGTTCTTGTCAGGTGGGAGTTCAGGCACCGCCTTGCCTTTCGACGTGTGCTTCTTTTCGTAGACAATGAGGCGGCTAGGGGAGCCGTCGTAAAGGGCAGATCCCCGAGCCCGGTGATGGACTGCCTTTGTAAGGCCTTTTTCGCCGCTGAGGCGATAGATCCTTCGTTTTGGTGGGTAGAAAGGACACCTTCGAAATCGAACCCGTCCGATGCCCCCTCTAGGGGGGCAGGCCTTGAGTGTGCTCGAGAGTTCGGAGCCGAATTCCGAACGAGATTCGAGACCATGGAGTTCCTTATGCAATATGATGGAGTCATCCGAGACCCATCCGATCCAGGCTGCTCGGTAGTCGGGGGAAGGGAGAGCAGCGGAAACAAATCCGCATCGAGACATAATGTCCACCTCTAAACAATAACCCCCCCCCCCGATCAAGTGCAGGCCCCAAATAGTGGGAAATCCAGAAAAATCCCAGAAAATCTTGATTTGAATTGGAAATGAAAGGAAAGGAAAGGAGATTGAAGGAAAGGAAAGAAATGAAAGGGAAACAAAAGGAAATGAAAGGGAAACAAAAGGAAATGAAAGGGAAATAAAAGGAAATGAAAGGGAAACAAAAGGAAATGAAAGGGAAATGAAAGGAGAATGAAAGGAAAGAAAAGGAAATGAAAGGAAAATATATGGAAAGAAAAGGAAATGAAAGGGAAACAAAAGGAAAAGGAAAGGAGAATGAAAGGAAAGAAAAGGAAATGAAAGGAACATAAATGGAAAGAAAAGGAAATGCCAGGAGAATGACCATTGTTGTTGTTGTTGTTGTTCTGTGTGTGTGTGGTGTGTGTATGCCTGGAGCTCAGAATCAGGTTTGGAAGCAGCTGAGAGTATATAAAATAATATTAAGTTTTGGAGTCAGCCCCCAAAACAAGATCTCAAAAAGTTTAGCATTATTTAGGGGGCATTTATTATTGATTTTTGAAAAAATTAGCATTATTCACGGGGCATTTAGTGTTATGAGGTCGACATTACCCCCGATTGCTATGAGAAAAAGGAACGTCGAATATTAATACAATATATTGTATGAAAGAATTATTTTTGTTTCTATAATTTGTGAAGATTTCGAAAAAGAAGATAAATTATCATCTTTAAGAAATCGACTAGTTTTCTGAACCTGAGGGGCCCTGACCAAACAGCGATAGACTTAAAGAGAAGGAATCGTACACGAAGTGGATGATCCTTTCTCTGTAAGTCTTAGCTAAACAAAGCCAAACAGACGGCTTCTGTTTGGCGGGTCTGGGCCACCTTCGTGAAGAGGTTCAAAAACAAAACTTAAAAGATCAAAACCAAATTTGATTTTGATGTGAAAAATTGAAGAAATTAACATGGAGGGTTTTGAGAGTGTTCGCGAACTCGATTCGATCACGTTCGAGATTGTCGTTTCGAGGACGTCATTAGGTCTTGCGACTGCGCCGCTCCATCAAGGTGTTCAATGCAACACCCGTGGGTGGGGGCCAACAGAGGCCGTCCATGGGTGGTTCATGACATGAACAAACAATATGCTCGATGTTCATGAAACATATTTCTAGAACACCTTCAAATTTTTCACCCGCCCAATCCCACCCTAACATATTCTCTCTGTCTGCAAGCTGTCCCATTCGGCCAGTCGCTTCATCATAGTCCTTCGGTATTCGTTTACTTTGCAGCCAACCGCCCTTGCACGCAATAGGACTCGCCCTTGGAGCACAGCTTTGCACGACATCGGATTCACACCCACTTCAGCTTGGTCACCGAAGACCCAGGTTCTCAGCCGACTTTCCGTCCTCCGCCTCACCAATGACGGAGCGGCACCTTTGACTCCGGAGCATCCTTCGTCTTTGCCTCCGTCCGCAAGCGGCTTCGAACTCAGTAGCTGCTTTTCGACTCTGCTACTTCGGCCTTCGTTTGCCTACCCAACCGTTCAGGGAGAGCAGCGGAAACAAATCCGCATCGAGACATACCCCCGATTGCTATGAGAAAAAGGAACGTCGAATATTAATACAATATATTGTATGAACGAATTATTATTGTTTCTATATATAATTTGTGAAGATTTCGAAAAAGAAGATAAATTATCATCTTTAAGAAATCGACTAGTTTTCTGAACCTGAGGGGCCCTGACCAAACAGCGATAGACTTAAAGAGAAGGTATAGTGATGGAAGTTCACAAAGCAGGTGAAGGCTTAGAATTGGACGTCTAGGTCCAGAGTTCTATAGGTCTGAGCACACATATGAGTTGCAAGGTCCGCAAAGTACTGTGCCTGCGCCTGCCACGAAAGCTGCAAACAAGGTCTACAAAGTACTGCGTTTGCCGCAAAATCTGCACTTCAAGGTCTACCAGGTACTGCGCTTGCTACGAAATCTGCACCTCAAGGTCCACCAGGTAACGCCACCTCTACTGGCCGACCATTGATTTAATATGACTTAATCGGCTGAATCCGCTATTAAAAAACAGGATCAAAGAGTTCGCTCAAGGAGTTTGACTGCTCTATCTAGGCAGTCTTGGAGGATCCTGGGAAGGTGGCAGTGGATCCCCATAGGGGATCGATTTTGGCATGCGTATTCGAAGGTCCAGACGGTCATGAACAACTCGAGACTAAGCTCACACGACGCAAAGTGGGTTGGAACGCCGGGGAGGTTTCAATACACACCCACCTAGACCCAACTTCGTTTGTAACCTAGAGAAATCAGATGAATATGACCTGAACATACCCGAACACCAAAAGACACACATGGTGTGCGATCTTTTGTTGTTCCCACCTTGCTTCCCATCCGTTCCGAGTCGACCTCCACCGACCACCTGACCGCCCCTTTCGACCGAGACCCGAGGTGGCCAGTCCTGGGAGCTCGGCGATGTCCAGCGACTTGGAGGTTCCAGCAGAGGTAGGACCCGAACTAGACTCTCCCCTATAGGTACCCCAGGTGATGGGTCCTATGGTCCCGGTCACTGGCTACCTCTCTTGATGGTTTTGGAACCAAACGCACCGAGCACGTTTCGGAGGGCTTTTGTGGTCCATGTTCTGCTCCTAAGCCTTGATCTGTTTGGGGTGCAATCCATTGACCCCATTGCCCATGTGGTCGTTGTTTTGTGTGTTTTCTTTGTTTTTGTGTCGGTTTATTTTTTGATAAGTACTCGAACACCATGGAAATGCACTGCATGTTTTGGGGGTGCTCATGATTGAGCTCGGAAAGACTGACTTCGAGACAGACACTAACCTGCTGATGGAAGTTCCCAAACTGGGTAACCTGTTCTACAAGTGGGCGCAAGCCCCGAAAAAAACCGATGATGGCATGGCATGGTATACCCTAAGCATCATTGGACAACTCTAGAGGGTTTTGACCCTGCATAGCCGGAGGGTGGACCCTCAACACCTTCACCTTTCAGGGTCCTTGATTCTTGGGGTAGAAACAAACTCAGAAGACAAGTTTCACGATGTTAGTTGCTTAGAGAATGATGGGTGACCCAAAGCAGGAAAGTAAAAATACCAAACCTGATCAACATGTCCACCAGAGAGGATGTTGTTTCCTTCATGTTCAATTTTGCACAATTTAGACGATTCACAGGGCTAGGCACAGCTCATGCCTGAATACCCAGGCGAACCGCATGCAAAAAAACACTGAAATGCAAAAGATATGAACATACAACTACAACAAATTGTAATATCATGGTTTGCTTGTAGTTACTAGTTACTAGTTGTACGAGCAAATTTGTTAACTATATATGTTCACCTGTACCGTTTCAGAATCTGAGCTACGGTTCTGAATGAACATCTCAGATTTTGAGGGCATCTTATATGCCGATGGACATGTATCCCGATCCAATCTGACCAGTTCACAAGCCTTTTAAACCATCACCAGGCATGCACGTTGCCAAAGAGTTCGGCCAACAAAGTTCCGGACGATCCCAACCAAACGGAACAAGCAACCTAGGATTCCAGCCACAATTGAATAGTCTGAGAAGCCGAGTTTACAGAAGCCAGGTCAACCAAACTCTTCTACAGTGGGCCATCAGAGGTTGGCACCACCCCGTTCGATGTCTTCGACAGACGGGATCGATCAACCATCAAACTCGGACACTTGTGCCATCGAACCTCTGTACGCACGCTTCTCACCCCCAAACATCTGTCACAAGTCGAACCAGGCGAACCTCACCAGTTTGGAAGGACCGGACCGATGAAGAAATTCGGCCGAACCCTCCGCTGGTTTTGCTTCATAATTGATTATTAAATTATCATTAATATGTGTTTCCCGGCTTCCTGGACTAATCCAAGCATTCACTCACTCACTCTCCTCAGGTAGTGATGCCTGGACCTCCCGCACCTCCCAAACCAGCGCTCGCAGCGGCGCCAAAAGCAGCGCTCGAACCTACGCCGCCCTCCCCAACCGCTTTGGACTGGGCCCCGCGTCGCCCACGGCACCGGAGAGCATGGGTCGCTCGGATCGGAACTGGTCGGAACTATAGGCGCCTTTGGTGGTTTCTTCGTCGTTCAAGTTCGGAGCAACTCCAATCCCGAACTCAATGTCAGTTTGAAAAACCCAAGAATCCATCATTTGTGTCCAATCATTCCCGAAAAGAATTCCACCATATTCAGATGTCCGTTTTTGGTTGTACAAGAACTGTTTGGTCCGCGGTCCTGTGACGCCCCCCTCCTCATGACCGTTCCGGCGCCTCAACGGAGTTCCGGCGACCGTTCAACGGTCGGTCGGGTAGATGGGTTTTGCTGTGCAAAGAGAAGGTTCCAGATTCAGATATCCCTGGAATCCCAAGAACAATCCCTTTTAAAGGTCTCTCACTGAACGGCCAATGCTTTTGAGGTAAGATTTTTTAAGATACCAACACCAGCTGAAGCATTCAACAATTAATTGTAGAACAGAAGGCGAGTTCAGGATATCAGTTGCCTTTGCACCGACACATTATCATCCTCTTCGTATAGCTTCTTTGCGACCCTCGCGCCACGCGAATCCGAGGTTATAGTGCTCCGTCCAGTGCCCAGCTAATGGATGTGCAGCGGCATTTGGAGGTAGCGGGACACATGTTTTGGTGCGGTCCGTGGGTTTCTGTTTGGTCACATGTGCGGTCCATGCCAGCCGCGTTTGCGCTCGGTTTGGTCGGGTTGTTTTGTCCACTGTGCCAGACCAAGGATGCACTAATTGAGTTGCCAGACTGAGCGTAGAGCCATAAGGTATTTGCTACAAACCACTGAGACTCACCACGCTAAATCGATAGCTCATCCATGAGAGACTCGAAGGCCGAAGGCAAAGTGGTCTTTCGATCCAACGACGTGGTCTTTGAGCTGCCAACTTCCCAAGGGTGCCAAGTTCCCAAGGAGGCATCCACCAATTCAACCAGTTTCTGTGAACAGTTTCACTGTGAAGAGCAGGGTCCCCTTGTGCATGTGATTTACCAGCAGGACTGGTCAAAGAGCGTGATTTGTTGCTGATCGCTTGACTGACTGGTGATCCTTGTCTCTGGGTGACAAGCAGTCAAGTGTGGTACGGCGTTTTGGGACCCTCCACCACTCAACATAAGTGGACCAGGGATGGGCTCGAAACCCTTCCAAGGATCGTCAGTGTCCCGTGCTAAACGGAGACTGTTATTTGTAGTACAGTACCTATTGCCCAAAAGCTCCAAACAGGCCTTGAGCCCTAAAAAATGAGGGATTTGAGATGCCAGAACCCGCCATGTGAAGATTTGGCCCCTACTTAGGGTCCATGAGCATTTGGATGATTAAACAGTCACCAAACTGGGCATAGCTAGAACGACCGGGATGTAGTACACCAGCACCCTCCAATAGGCCAGTATGTCACCATGTCGGAGACCTAGTCTTGGAAGGTGTTGGAGACCTAGCGTGTTTGGTCTAGTGACCAGCTTAAGGACCTTCCCCCCTGCCAAGATGTAATGTGCTTAAATCAGTTTAGGGGGCTCGAGCTGGGCTTGATTAATAAGGGGCGGTTACTTAATCCTGTGTCAACATTATCCGATATCAGTGCAAGTCAACTTCCAAATCAGCCAGCACCACCCAAAGAATTGTTATTGGATGAGCCCCCTTTGGGGTGGTGTTGGAGTTTATGCCCAAAAAGAGACCTGCCTAGTTCTTCCAACTTACCGAACTTGATCCCCCCGTTTGAGATCATTTAGGCCTGCAAGTAAGGTCAGATGAGACTCCAAAGGGTCGGGTCGTGAACTGAAAGCTGGTCTTGTGAAACTCCTCCTTTCTATCCCCGTGAACCGTGACGCCAAAGTCCACCATGATCCTCCCTCCAGCCATGGTCCCGACGGGCCGAGCAGGTGATCCGCTTCACTGTCCTCAGGGAGCATGCACAAATGCGGCAACGGGCCGAAGAGGCGCCTAAAAACGAACGCCAACACGCTGCTGGGGCCATTGGGGGTCGGGTTTGAAGGGATTTGTTCGAGAGACTTGACACTTCAACATTCTAGGGTAGAGCATCAAAGAGCTCTTGTTTACTCCGGCCTTCAAAGACTCCAGTTTGCGTGGTTGACCTGGTATGGTCGTAAAGTTCGGACTCAGCTTTACTACAATGGTTCTTGGGTATTCAGATGTATTCAGACTCATGAAGAATCAATGGTGGTTGGAATCCCCGGATTTCAAGACCACGAGACTGGCACCGACCAGCGAAACGAGACCGGACACAAGCGAAACGAACAGTGGGATGCAGGAATGCAGAAACAAGAGCGGGTTCAATGGTGTTTTCACGTAGTACGTGCAACCCTAGAACCTTTTGATCAAAACAGAGGTCATGTCTGAAGGTTCTGTTTGTGTGTATATTGAACTACAAAAGGGAGACTTTCCAAGCAACGACCCCGGGTTGGTAGGGGAAACAGAGTCTAGCCAGCCAGGGCCGAAAAAGGGGATCTCCCTCTCCTAGTAGCTTCTTGATTCAATTCTAATAAAATTCTAATTAAATTTAGATCAATTTTAGTTCTAGTTCTGTTGAATTCTTGTTTGAAATAGCTTCTTGTTACTAGTAGTATGGCCAGGAGCCCCTACTAGCGTCCTCACCCATGTGGGTGTTCCATTGAGGCTGTGAGGATCTGGTCACAATCCATGGGTGTAAACATCGGTGATATAGTGAATGAAAACCTTAAACGCAACTGGTCAGGAAGTGTTGCAGGGTGCTTTAATATGAGTATAGAGATGCATACAGTATACATGTGAGTGATCAAATTAGATCATGTGTATATTGAATCTATACAAACATGACTGAACCCTGGGGGTTTCGCAATGCAAACTGCCAGTTAGAATTTTCTTTTTGGAACATCACGGCTCACCGCTCTTGGCCAAGCTCTTTGCCAAGCTCGAGGCCAAAGAGCAGCTTGCAGCCCAGGGCCGCATCTTTGATGAGCAGCTTGGAAACGCAAAAGAACTGCCTGCCCAAGTGAATCCAGGAAAGATCCTTACAACGCGGCCAAATCAAGGGCATTTGGAGATTGATGGATCAAGATATCCCACCAGGACCTTCAATTTGACTTCTTTGGAGTGTCTAACTGTAGGGACTACTCAGAGATCTCAAGGACGGTCAGGTTGAAGGTGGCAGATGCTTCCCAAGCGACCTTTGGTTTTGATCCTTTTAAGAGCTACACGAATCATCATTAATCATTAATCCAAAGGACATCAAACTCTGCCCGTTGTGAACTTTGTCTTAAAACCAATGTCCTTGTGAGCAAACATAGGCTCTTCTTTCTCGGGGGGTCGAAATGTTTTAGCCATGAATGTCAAGTCAAGCGTTTGCCTCAAGGGCAAAAGCGCTGAACGCTGAGCAAACATAGGCAGCAGAAGACAGAATCGTTTCTCCACCAGGACCCACATGGACAGCCCTTAACCGCTATAGGGTGGGCTATTGATATTCAACATGCACCTCTGGTTCGTGGGGGGAGCCCGCCGGCAAACAAGTGTCAAGGTCACCGCCCGAGCGTCGCGTCTCGAGCCGATGACCCATGCATCGCTCACGCGACACAGATCGGAGCCCAAAGCCGGATCGGAGGAACCGGGTGTTCCCTCCAGTCTTTCGGGGTCTCAAAAACTTCCTATACCTGTCGGTGGTTTCGGGCCGTGCCTCGTTACGGAACTTATATCTGTTACAACTAAGCGGTTTCCCAAGTATAACCATAGAAAAGAACCACGTTTCTTCATCTTTTCTTCATCTCTGGACCGAAATGGCCATGGCTCGGCTCAGTTTGGCTTCGTGGTGTTCGCGCTGACAAGGCTCATTCTCAGCGTGGATGCTGTGGACTTGGCGCAGGACAGATGCCGAGCGAGAGACGTAGGACGAGGGGGTGCTGGTATACCGGTATACCCATGTGTTGGACCAACATACCCTATAGAAGTTCAGTTTGAAAGACTGATTATTTTGGGCAAAGGTCAAGTGTTCATAAAGTTCCTGGACAAAAGGGTCACCGTTCATTATCAGACCATTTGAAGGATGGTTTTGGACGCATTAGGGTCTTGGTATAGGTTCATACTGCAGGTATAGGTTCTTGTCCACCCTCTGACTGTTTGGGTGCACATTGACAAATTGTTAGTTGACCAAGCAGCTCGGCGTAAGAAGGAATTCAGGACAGTGAAGGGGATTCAGTTGTAAGGAACCCAAACTATCCATCATGGGACTGGAAGGTTTGCTGATCAGTTTGGGGTTGATGTTAAGATGGTTTAAGGATCAATACCCAGTACCCTCCAACAGGTCTCCCCTGGTCGCTGATAGGAGACTTACTGTAAGAGTGGCAGATGGTGACCTGTGAAGTCGGGTGCTGGTAGGTAAATATTCCATATACACATGGATGGTTGATCTGAGAAAAGAGTTCGGTAGTAGGGATGGACAGCGCAGAGAATAGGAGTGCACGGGTGCGGTGGAAGTGCGCACTTCCCCCGCACCCCGGTGTGTTTTTTTTATTTTTATTTTTTTCCGGGGCGTCTCGGTGGTTCCTTTCAAGTACCCAACGGTTGGGTTCAGGATTGGTGTACATTTGGATTCTTGTTGGTGTGTCCCTAGAAGATGAACATTGTGGGAAAATTCGATGACTTACGTACCTAGACAACCCTTTGTATGGAAATGGATTATTTTTTTAATATATTGGCTCTTAAAACAATCCACCTCCAAAGTCCAAAGTAGGCAAGTACTTATACATGGATTGTTTTGGGTTAAGATGGGTTCAGTATTTTTGTTGAAAGTTGACTGTGCAACTTTTAGGGAATTCCAGGCTTGAGATAATTCAATTGGATCTGTGCCCGGGCTAACTTAAGCTCCAGATGCAGATACCGCTCTCAAGGTGTTCATACCGCTTGGTATTTGGTCAAGTCGTTGTGACACACGTTAGCAACATTACATCCACTCACTTAGGGACTACGAGTCTCCCCCAATCGTCACTCCTGGATGAGGCATGTTTGCTGCAATGGGACACTGTTTCGCATGCATTGCATGGACCTCCCTGGCTTCCACCGGCATCACCCTGCACTGGACTCGTGAGCTGAACGGGCCTGATGGCTGTGTGTCAACGGTCACTGCGTGTTTGAATGGTTTCAGGCACATGTTTTCAGGGCCGCAGGAGCGAACCCTTAGATCCCATATGGCCCATATGAGTGATGATAAAACAAACACAAAACACGCAATTACGTTTAGTCTGTGGCTGACCCTAGCTTTTGTCTGAAGCCTTTTTTAGAGGCGGCCTGCAAGG